CTCCTAATTCCTATGTATAATGCAGGGGTGTTCCCATAGGGTATACTACATATACGCCGTACACTCTCAATATAAATATATATAATAAATTAATAAATATCTATGATAGGTACTTAATAGCTAAATAGCTAATGGTATGTTTTTCTGGTCGAATCATTAGATTATTCGTACGATTTATTTATTGTTATGAGGACGCTACACACCCGCATGTGTTGTCTCCGTCTTACAAGTGCGTAACATACCAAATTTCACGCTCATTAGATCACGTTTAGCTTCGTTAGCTTAAAATTTTAAGTAAGTTAACCTCTCATAACARTTAAAGGTACCTAACATTATTATRGAGAGCTTTTCATAGGCTTTTTACTATATTTTAATTTCAAAGTGAGTTATGAGTATTTTAAGATATACAAAGAATTTCCAATTTTAAAATATACAATAATAATACAGCTGCTGTAGCTGTATATAACTATTTTATATATTACGAATAATTTGAATACATTTATTATTATTATATAGGTAGGTAATATAATTTTGCGTACAACYTTGGGCACGCGTTCCGTGGATTTGCTATCCCTGACCTACACTATATCTACAGCGTGTTCAACGACAGATATTACAAACGGATGACCTTGAATTTGGTTCGTATTTTTTTAATTCATAAAGGACTTTTTTAAAATCTTTAATCTTTTTGTTTTTAACGAACTTTTTAAACACATATTTTTGAGCAGCCTCCATCCCTAATTTTTAGTTTAAATTTAAATTTAAATATGTAAGGCTTAAAAATGTAGTTCAAGATTCCTCATAAAGAAATAAATTTTTATTAGTAATTAATGTTAAAACGTTGACGACGATATTGTATACTCAAAMATATAAGTTATTATGATTAATAACGATTTATCAAACGATATTTGTTATTTTGTTATTATAAAAAAWAATAATAATAATAGCATAAATCTGAAACATTCCACACTATCAATTATTAAATTATAATGTTCTAGTTGTTCTACATACAATTAAATTTTCAAAATATTTAATCATTTAATCGTTTAAAGCTATATTTAAAGAGATTATATAGTTTCTTATATATCTTCTATACATATTATAAAATCTATAAAATTGTTAGAATTTATTATTATACATTAAGCAACTCTCCAAAAAATTCCTGTAATCTTTGTCCACAATAATACAGATTACAGTTGTATGTATTTTTATGACTTATAGATGAAATATATTCTCAGTAAATCTTTACCAAAAAAAAATATGACAACCCCTTCTACATACTATATATTGCTGCGTGATTTCCTCTGCATCAGCAGAAGCACGTGTGCGTCATCATATTTTTTAAGWCTATGTAGTATGTAATCAAAAAACATTTTTTTACGGGTCACAAATCGTAAGTTATGACTCAAATTTGGAGTCTGTATAGTGGCCGCAAAATGAATAATTATTCACATCCGGTTACATATACCGATATACTTGATCCAGCCGCGGGCAATCTAGGTTTTCAGTTTTCACTATAGTTTATAGACTTAGACTATAACAATAGGAAATCACTGACAGTCTCTCCAGTCAGACATGTGACTAATGTCCGAGGAATCCGGAAATTTATGTATACATTTATATCTCACTATAAAGCAATAATGCAGTAATGAGCGCCATTGTATATTATTACGKGATATGACATAGAGCATAATGTTTTGTATTGTATCATACGATTTTTATCTGAAGGCTGAAGCGTTCGTCTGATTGAGATTTGAGACCAACAAACAACTTGCAATACATAAACAAATATAATATTTTTGTAATAATATTATGCGATTCTATTAACCTGCAGCTCTATAATAAATAAACTGCTTTAAATTGACTCTGCCGTTTTTCCAACATGTATGTAGTGACGTAGTGTGTTCATTTATATTAAAATGTCTAAACAATGTGTTTAAAATATTAATACCTGTAAGGCTAAAATTAAATATACASTATAATCTTTACTGAATTTTTTTTTGATTTTTAATGAAAAACTATACTGTTATTTCCTTTAGTTAGTAAGCGTTCATTATATTATGATTTATGACATATAGCCCATATAAGTAAAACTATAGGTTATACCTATACATATTTTTTTATTTTTTTAACATATTCATTTTAATTTGTACAATCTGTATAAAATATTTTTTCAATATGCACAATGAAGGAACTTATATAAGAGGGCTTGGTTTGCTTGATTAAAGAAACTATTCAATAATAGTAATTTGCAGCTACAGGTAAATTCGAAAAAATATTATTATTTTAACTTTTAAGCATTGGYCCAACAATTACGTTCACACTTTTACAGTTTAAAATATTGTTAGTAAGAAATTAATTGGATGCACTACTGCCTTAGTATATGATCTAAGACTACTGCACTATTGAATTACTGATTACCCTACATACAACATGCGAACAATACGAATTACGAACTCGTAAGTCGTAGATTGCACAAGATTAAGAGTTATGATTTATGACCAYGCACAGCGCCACAGCGTAGTCATGCCGCATCGTATCATTGTTATCAGTGCGTTGCACGGCAAAATGTTGAAATACATATTAYATAATAATATTACATTATTACATTTTAGTGCAAAATGTTATCAAAAGCAAAGAAGACGGAACAGTTAACAATTTAACAGTATAGGACGTCATGAGGTCGTATGAAGTTGGAACCCGGGGGGGCATATTGGGTTTGGGAGTTGAGRCGAACGAATAAAAAAAAGAGTTTATCTGYTTATGTTTATGCCGTTATTTTACTTATCTTATATATTATTATGATAAAATTGTTAATATTAAAAATTAATATACCAATCATAATACCTACTATAATTTATAGCCAGTTTAATTCCCATGTTCGCAATTTGATTGATGTTCAAGAGCTGTGTATATAATTGGCGATTGAGATAAGACCTCGTCAGAGATTTAAGACAAGAGATTCTGAAAAGGTGTTTTCTGGCTATTGCAGCTTGCTGTTTATGGAACATAGATGATTAGTTCTACAATAATTTATAATATCAATGATGTTATAAATCACAATTCAAGTTATATGGTTTTTAAATCATTTGTTCAAACGTTGCATAGAAGGCTCAGARGAATAAGATAATAAATAATTTATAGCATATTTTATGGGTAAATAGGCGATTTTATAAAACCGTAATTAATAATTAATAATGCTTATTAAAATGCAGATTAATTGGTTGCTATTTAATGCTTTATTTTTTTCTGTCGACGCAGTCAATAATATGAATACATTTATGTACTTTGCTTACGGAAGCAATATGCTTGCACAGCGGATTCATATTCAAAATCCAACTGCAGTAAGAATTGGAACTGGCAAACTAAATGTATGTTATATTGTGTTAAAAATGAACCCTTGTTTTTAGTTAATGTATTATTGTTATAGGCGTTCCGTTTAGATTTTAATACATTTTCACGTTTTTGGGATGGATGTCCATCGACAGTAGTCCCAGATCCTGAGGAACATGTCTGGGGTGTTTTATGGCGACTGAATACCAGCGATTTGAGCAGTCTAGATCGACAAGAAGGTGTCGATAAAAAACTCTATGTACCATTTGAGGTAAACATAGTGACGCCAAATGGCGATAACATATTGAGCCGCTGTTACATGCTAGTCAATCAGCCTGTTAAACAAATACCATTACCACTTGAAAGAAGACCATCTAAAGCATATTTAGAAACTATATTACTAGGGGCAAATGAAAGTGGATTACCATTTGACTATTTACAATATCTTAGTAAAATTCTCGATAATGGCAATGATGGCCCAACAATGCCATGGTCAAAGCGTGAACCATTAAAAACTACTGAATTGTAATTGAATACTTACCTTATTTAAAAAATGTTATTAATTATGTTTTAAGTATTTTATGATGAAAAAATATGTAAGGAGGTGAGGGAACATTGATTAAAACTAATTGTTATACAGACAAAWTTGTTAGTGATTATTTACTTAATTTAGTTTAAATACAATAAGTAAAGATTAGYCAGATTAAGCCTAAGTAATGTATTTACAAAAATTKTCTCTTTTTATTTACTTTATTTTAGAGATAAATGTATGCATRACAAATTATGATGAAAAGAAAATTTAAGATCATGTACAATCTTTACTATTTATTAGGGTTTATCATTTGTGTCAAATTATATAGATAGCATTATATTTTATGTAATTGCTAATTAAGTCAGAGGAAGTAATACATAAACAGATAATAATAATGAATTATTTTTTCAAAATCTTGGATAATAGCATATTACTTATGTAATTTGTATTTACAAACACATAAGTAAAACCTTTTGACACAATTTAGGGGATGAGAGTGAACTGATTGTTTTCTTTTTCCGACTAACCGCCCACCTGCAACATTCACCTAAAAACATATTTTTTATGTTTTTTGAGAGATCTTGAAGTAAATACTCAATATAAAAACTATAAAAGATAATATTTTTGAGGGTATAACATATCAATTTGTCTAAATATTGTCTCAAAACAATTTATGTCCATTTAAATTTACAAAAAAATATGTTTATTTTTAAAGTTAAATTATAATTAAATATAAAACAGATATGTCAAAGCCTGAAAAATATTATCATATATAATTTTCGTAATTGGTTTTTTTACTCAACAATTACTCTAAGTTCATAGAAAAAACAATTCTCGTGGATTATCTATGTCGCATATGGATCCGATTCCTGATAAAACAAATTTTGTGCCAATATCCTTTTAATAGGGTTTGTGCATAATACACAAACTTATTCTATGTATTAGGAACTTGTGTTGTTACAAACTTTCATTTCAGGCTAAACTTCAATATAAATACCAATAGATTAATGGTTCCCAAAATGTGCACTAGGGTCACCACGGTCTACTGCTCATAATAAATAATATAAAATGCATAGGATTTTTTTCAAAAATTTGTTACTAAGGATCTTTTAAGATATTTACAGCAAAGCACCGTGGCTATATTTGGTTCAAAAAAGAGCACCACGGGAAAAATGTTTGGTAACTGCTGTAATAGATTATTTATGATACTCTACATTACATGTTTACCATTCTAACATCTTTAAGAAGCTAGATATTATTTTCAGTATATAATGGTAAATTATTCACCAATTTATCTTTTACTTAAGTAAACCAAGAACTACATATTGCATAACATTATTTTTTTGTTTTTATATAATTATGCAATGTGCATTTTAGTGTAAGAACACTATTTTACTTCTGTAACATACATCATGTATGATACATGTATAAAATAGATTGGTTTACAAACATAATTTTACACTTATGATGTATATGGAGTATCTAGATTCTATGGTATATACTTGCTTTAATACTATTATTTAATTTCTATATTGATGTATAATATATAATAAATATTTAAAGTAATATTTATGTTTTTATAACTAAATAGTGTTTTTAACAATTTTGGAACTAGTAGATTTAGTCTTTGCAACAGATTTCCGGTCAGTCTTAATAAACACATATGTATCATTGTCCTCGTATGACTGGTATCCAATATCAATAATATTCCAAGATGATGTATACTCTTTTATAATATCTTGATTCATAGTTAATTTTATAGCTGTTTCTTTAGTAAGTAATGAAATTTCTTTTTTAGGCATTGGTAATACACATTTAACAGCATTGTTAACCTGAAAAAAATATTATCTTATACAAATAGTAGATTACCATGCCAAATGACTACATTGTTTGATACAAATAATTATAGCAAAAATTTAAAATAAATTAACATTTTATCTTCAAGTGAAAAGGTTTTTTATATAAATTCATTTAAATTTTACTTACGATGAAGACAAAAAACAAAAAAACCATGTACAAAATTGATTCCTGTCATGAAAAATTTAAAAGCCTAACAAATGATATATGCAACAAACCTAGTTACCATACAGTATGCTATAGACCTATTGTGGATAGAAGTCTTCTAACACACCGTGATTATCTTAAGATGCTATCAACTCCTAGGGGATTCAAATGGATAGATATGCCATTACACTATAAGAAAGGATATAATTCATACAAATTTCGTAAGCAAAAAAATGAAAAATATAATGTTTATGGTCAACAAAAAATGGTAAATATTAGTCATGGCACTATACTTTGAAATTAAATAATTGTGTAATATAAGYGCATACTTTAAAGAATTATGGAAAAGCATATAATATACAAAAAAAAACCATAAATAATCAAAAGCAAGGAAAAATGATTGATACTTTGAATTTAAATAATAATAATTTTAAATCTAAAAAATTACAAAGTCAACGAAAAAATATTTTACAAAGTAAGAGATGCAATTTTATTGAATCATTAAATTRAAAAATTGAAAAATGACATATTACTTTAAGTTTAAGTATTTTTTAGGATAAAAATGTACTTAAATTWAAAAAAATAATATGTTTTGTGTAGTATGTATAGGTAAATTATTTTTAATAGATGATAAAATTATGCAAAATAATGCCAGTAAAACAAAAATAAAAAATTTTAAAATCAATAAATATGGAATGGGAGATGACTTAAAAAGTAAAACTGATTCATTGATTCAAAAATATGAAGATAGTTCTAGTGAGAAACTAAAAAAAATAAAAGATCAGCAAGAAGCTGATGATTTTATGAAAAAAAAAAAAAGGTTGTGGTTAAAAGCTGAGAAAAAACGTAAAAAAAGAGAGGAAGAAGAAAATAAATTTAAATCTTCTATCCTAGCTAAAGAAAAAGAAAAAGAAGAACRGCGGAAAATTATGGAAGAAAAAATTRAAATTCAATCAAAACGCGACAAAATATTGGAAGAACAAAGAAAACAAGAATTAGAAAATGAAAAGAAAGAAATTGGAAAAGCGCAGGTAAGAGCGAAAAAAAAAGTACTAAAAGAAAATGATACATTATCAAAAGAAGCTGAAAGGCAACGCAGGCTTGACACACTCAAAAAAGAAGAAGAGGAAGCGTGGAGAAAAAAAATTAACGAGAAATTTGCCCTAAAAATGGGTTATAAAATAAATTCAAATATTACCAACAAAAAAAATGAACATTCTATGTGTAATAATGGTAATAAAAGATTAACTCAATATGCCGAAAAAATACTTAAAGAAATAAAACAAAACAATCTAGTTTTTGATCCAGGAAATTTAATGAAACAAATTATCAAGAGAGAATTGAACAAGGCTGAAAACAAAAAGGTTAAAAATTAATTCTGTACTTAAGTTGATATAAGATTTAAATAAAAATATTTTTTAGGTAAAACAAAAAAGCCGGCAGCGATTGTGTCAGCCATGCAATAAAAAAATAAAAAATATGATTACAATAAAAACTGAAAAAAAAAAGGAAAAACCAGATCAGTCAAAAAAAATAGTGTTTCTAAACTCTAAAAACATGAACAGAGTAAATCAGTTAACAGAAGTAAAATCAATTGAACATTGTATACTAAACAAACCCAAGACATTGTTAGAATACAAAATTCCAGATATACATTGCTATAGTAATACATCATTCAACACACTTGTGAGTAATTGGAAAAAGGAAGTGGCTGATATGATAGATAATATGCAAAAACGTCGGTATAACTGTACAAAACAGTATAGTACATAAAACATGAATATATTTAACATCAGATTTTATGATTTCCTTCAAAATTTGTATGCAGCATTTTTTTTTTCGTTCAAAATATAAATACTTGTAGTTTTCTTTAATTGTTGAATACTAACCACACAATATAAATTTAAAATATAATCACTATCCACTTGTGGCCATTTTTGATCAATTACATCATTTTCCCAATTAATTTGTTCCCATTTATGATTTATGCGACCTGGTGCAGATACAAATCCACTCCATAAAGCAGATGCAAAGTGTGGAGCCATTGGAGTTAACATTATTATCTGAACAGCCAATAATCTTTCATATTCTGCACTATACTTAATCAACTCTTTAGGAGATTTCTGAAAAAGTGTCAATACATTAAAATCTATAAAAAATAAAAATGTATTAAAATATGTATATACCCTTAAAATATTGGTCAACCCTTGTAATTTTGAAATGGCTACACTCAATTGATATGATTTTCTGAAGTTACTTGAAGTTTTTTTAACATGATAATTACGTGCATCATGTAATTTCATTTCTTCTTTTTCAAATATAGATGAATCAATTGTATGTCTTTGAACATCTTCATTAGATCTAACAGTTCGGAATTCTCTTATAGTCAACCATAATCTATGTTGCCAATTTAAAATTCCAGGAAATGCTAATAGTATCAATTATGTATTAAACAATAATATATAAATATTGTACTAAAATATATATTTTCATCATGACATGGTAAACTCAATTTCAAACRTACTAAATGTATAGATACTAGATTAAATTATTATATTTTTCAATTTTATCCTTCAAAATATAAAATATCTTATCTTAGTGTTAAACAACAAGCGAATACTGCGATGAGCAATAGACTGTRGTGCATATATTGTGGGTTTAACCTATGTTTATTGCTCATTAATCATTATTTACGTGTAATATAAGACCTATAGGTGATGCTGAATGTATAAAGGAATTTTACRATGAATCAAAAATTTAAAAATGCATGTTATAAATTGCAATCAAAATAATTTTCATTATTTTTTATTAAATTGTATTATATTATTAATTTATTTTTTGTTGATAACACACTTTGAATTTTTCATCACATATTTTTGTTGTATAAATGCATACTTTGGTTATATAAATTATAAATACATATAAATCTGAGTCCTAGTTATTAGTTATTATTTATTAGTTTATTACTTACTATCAGAATTCCAATTTCTATTAGATGTAGGTGCAACACTAGACAATACCAATAATCGCATAGTATCGACTCCATATTCATTTATAGTATTCTTTGGTTTAACACCATTGTGCTTAGATTTACTCATTTTTTCCCATGTTGCAATAACCGGGTAGTCACCATCTTTAGAGAAATATGTTTTACCTTTTTTAATTACTTCATCTTCCTTTAAATATGTTCCATTAATTTTATTTTTAAAACTTTGACCCATCACCATACCTTGAACTAATAGTTTTTTAAACGGTTCTAAACAAGGAGATAAACCAATGGAATGTAAAAAGTGGTTAAAGAACCTTGCATAATATAGATGCAAAACAGCTAAAAGAAAAAAATGTATTAAAACTATTTTCATAAATTCTTTTAAGAGTAAATTTACCATGTTCTTTTCCACCAACATATAAATCAACAGGCATCATTTTTTTGACCAAAGTCTTATCAAATGGCTGAAAATTATTTTTAGGATCTAAATATCTCATATAATACCAACTGGAATCCACAAATGTATCCATTGTATTTGTTTCTCTTTTTGCCTCTTTACCACATCTAGGACACTATAATATTAATGTGATGTTTATATTTCATACAAGTGTTAAATGTCCTACTTTGGACAAGTAGTCTTAATCCATTCTTCAGCTAATTCTAACGATTTAAATTTTTTACCACTTTGTACATCAAGCATGGGCAGTTTGACTGGCAATTGATCTTCTGGTACAGCTTGAGCTCCACAATTAGTACAATGAATAATTGGTACAGGTGTACCCCAATATCTTTGTCTAGATATTAACCAATCCTGTAATTTAGAACTTACTTGATAACCACYAAAATTTAACTCTTTTGCTTTTTCACAAATCWTTTCTCTAGATAAATGTGAGCTTTGATTTACAGAATGAAAAATATTATGCTYTTCAGCTAATTCTTTATCAATAGAATTTGTATGTGGCACACCTAAGCGTGATTCTTGCCCCTCTGGATATACAACACGATCAGTAACTAAAATTGGTAATTGGTTGCCAGTAATTGGATTTTTGATGAACACATTTTTATGATTTAGAACATAATATTGATGTACAAAAGAATTGGGCTTAACACAAATAAATGCAGCTAATGGTATATGTTCTGGATTTTGTGTCCAAACATTGAGTATTGTTCTACAAACATTATCAGTATATAGTTGAAAATCAAATTTATATCCGTCACATTCTCCAATCCAATGTTTTTGGAGGTTAATAATATCTCTCCAATCCACTAAAGATGGATCATTTAATCCTTCAAACAGAGCTCTATAACAATAATTTAAAAACAATTAGTTGTGTTACCTATACAAGTTATTCAATGTTATAGAAGCATAGTAAAATAATAAAAAAATGTTTAAAGTGAAATGYAAATTAATTTATTTTAAGATTTTTTATTGAAATTTCAAAAATACTGAAAAGTAACCTCTACAAAAGACAAACTATGTTCTATTTCTAAGCACTATTGTTTAAAAGTGACAATAAAAAAAAAGTGTTATTGTTTTGAACATTTATTAGTGATTAATGCATTTAATAGTTTATATTCTTAAGTATCATACTGATTTGATTATAAAAATGAACAAATTCTAAGTTATTGAATGTTTAACTAACTTGGAAAATTGTGTTGTTTTTATAAACCATTGTTTCAGTACTTTTTTCTTGACAATAGCACCAGACCGCCAAGAACGTCCATTTTCGTCTACTTGTTCATTAGCTAACACTGTTTCATCTACTGGATCCCAATTAACTTCAGCCTAATCAACAATAATAGTAAATTATTGGTCAATKCTAATAAAAAGTTGATACAATCAAAATCCTTCTTACTTCTTTAGAATAAACAAGTCCAGTCTGAAACATTTTTAGAAAGAACCATTGAGTCCATTTATAATAGGTTGGATCACAGGTTGCTAATTCATTAGACCAATCAAAACTGCATCCAAGTTCTTGAAGCTGTTTTTTCATGTGATCAATATTTGAACTAGTCCATTTATCAGCTGGTAAGCCATGTAGTATAGCTGCATTCTCAGCAGGAAGTCCAAATGCATCCCATCCCATAGGCTGAAATACCTATTGTAAAATTGTTTATTAAATAGGCTWACTTAATATAAATAATTATAACAAATAAATTTACATTTTGTCCGTTCATGCGATGAAACCTAGCAATTGAATCTGCAATYACATACACTCGAACATGGCCCATGTGTAAGTGGCCAGACGGATAAGGAAACATTGACAAAACATAAAATTTTTTATCGAGATTATTTTTATCAAAACTACCTTTACATAGTTTATCTTTCCAGTATTTCTCAATTTTTAGTTTTAAGCCTATTGTCAACTCTTCATTCTATAAATAAATTGTGATGCATTAAAACATATTTTATTATAAAACTAATAATTATTTATTATTGATACTAATATAGTTACTCACCCAAATATCATTACTAAGATATCTACAGTTTGGAGAATATTTCCTATAAAATCTAAGATTATTAAGTTTATAAAATATTTCTTTGGAAATCATTGCCCGTGATTAGAAATCGATACTTAAACTCTACACTAAAATATATATAATAGTGGATTTTAAAGTTATTAACATTTAAAACCAATTTAAATGGTCTTTTTTATTTCCTTACATACTTGAAGAGTAGCATTATATAATATAATACTATAATAGCATAGATATGCGAAATTTGTATGTGCATTGCTGAATTCATGGACGCATGGTCATTGATTACACTATCACTCATAAACTCATAACTGATAAATCTTTGTGATAATAGAACGGCTGTCTGTAGATCACGGCTGATAATATAGATAATTAGCTTGTTATCTATATCTGTGCTGTAGATCTTCACCACTAATAAGATAATATGTCTTCAGTTCTTCACCTCGAACGGCGCGCGGCGCAAACCTTCGACCATATAAGCTAATACCACAGATTATATAATATATTATTTTATATAATCTGTGCTAATACCATATTAGCTTATATGGTCGAAGGCGCAAACCATGATTGGCATGATTTAAGATTGTAGTATTGACGTATTGTACTTACGTGATCCGTGAGTTGTAACCACGACGCCATGACTATTGACTGTAGATATTTTCCAAGATCTTTACCACGACACAACGGTCTTGATTCTTGAAGACCGTGATTGTYAGTCGTCAGTTTATCTAGACATCTAGTAAACCATCAACCAGCAGTKTATTTCTRTATTATAAATTATAAAACAAAATAGATGAAATAAGATGAATCTATTTCAATCTAATCTATTTTAATATTGTTCTGTGGTTTAATTTATTCCGTGAAAATAACAAGGTGGATCGCTGCAGTGGCGCAACCAGTGGTGGAGAGGGGGGAGGGTTTCGGAATCTTTTTTTCGCTTATAAGCATGTTGTCTTATGTACGTATGACTTCAGATATTGAGGTAGGTATATTATATTATATTCTAACAATGTAACCCCCTCCCCCTGAAATTAWTTTATAGTTGGGCCGCTATTGGATCTATTATAGCACAAGGTATAGAAAAATAATATAAGCCCCAACACCCCGACTAGTTCAAAACAGCCACGATTATTAGTTATTACGAACAACTATCGAAATTTGTCAATACCTAATAACTATGATAAATTATTATGAAAACATTATGATGTAAAATTATGTTCTATTTACAATGTAGGTTATCCTTATAGATTACATTATACTATAATATTTATCACTTTATGTTTATGATTATAGTATAAGACAGTAGTAACCTGTAGACAATGAGCTTGCAATATTCAATTAAAAATTCATGATACTTAAGTTTTATTAATTGTATCGTATTCCGAACATGCAAGTTACAWTTAAAATATTAATAATTTTCAAAATTTACTATACATTTACGAAATAATTTTTTTGCATTTCTCAAATAAATAATAATATTATAATAATTTATGATATTGATATTATAATAATACGTTAATAAGATATTAAGATATCTTTAATCGTAAATAATATTAGTATACATTTATCTAAAGAAGTTAATAACAAAAGTAAATACTACTAGATCGCGCTATAGTTAATTTTACGAAAGTTAATTCATTATATTCTTATACTTATTTATTAACTTATTTATTTCTGAAATATTCTCCATCCACATAATATGGTCAAATTTCAGCAGTAGTTTATGGAAAACGACAAATAGTTGCAAATCATTCCATGCACATTTGTGTGATGCAACAATTAAAATCACATTTTAATATTGTATTTTTCGAAAATGTAAGTTCATACTAATTTATAATATTTAAGATATAAAAATAAACATTTCTTAGTTAAATATCCAAAACCAAAAAGATAAAATATTCAAAACAGTTTAATTCACTTGTCCGTTGCAATAAAAAAGTAGGTTGAAGGTACAAAATTAAAAATATTATCTACCTATTACCTATCCCCCCTCACCCGAAAATATCCTATTGCATCTTTAGAAAGGGTATTATCATAGCAACAATTCAAAGGTTATTTTTGACTAAATATTATTACACTTTTTCATTAATCTGTTCATAAAAATTCTAGAATTTCTGAATAATATATAAAATTTTAAAATATTAAGGTACGTAATGTGACGTAATGGTARCAAATATTTCATCAGATTTATACCAACTGGATAAGAGAATAGCTATGCATCGCAGATATAGTAATTATTTAAAATATATTCTAGTACCTAAAAATCTTTGCAAAGATAATTACCAAAAAACAACAACGTATTATTGAAAACTACAAGTTATGTCGATAACTCAATACATTAAAACGGGTTCGAACATTCGGTACATATTACATTTATACCACAGAACAATATATTAAATATATATTAATATATATATTAATATATTAATATATTAACATATATTAACAATATATGTTTATACATATATAACGCGCAGTAACACACTAACACACAAACACATTTACATATCCAATTTTCATAAAATGCTGCAGGAATCCTATATTTAACATGACTCATTAGGTGTTCCTTATATTATAATTTATCGATCTAAAAATAATTAATGTTTATATTCGTGTTTGCTTCTTTTGGCATAGCAGGAATTACTAATAAAATTCAACTCAAATTAATTTATAGAACTAAGAACGAGTAAGTACCTAAGTAACTTAGGCTAAGCATAGACGTTTAAATAATGGAGTATTATTACAACACATGAATCTAAGAAAAAACGACACTGAAAAAAACGTCAAATTTATTTTAAATATAAATTACAAATATCAGTTTTAAGAAAATTATCAAATTATTCAAATTATTAAAATACCAAAAATACAAATAGGGGAGATGATATTAGAAATGATGACCTTTTTTTTTTTAAACGTAACGGAAACGAATGGATACGCAGCATTTAATTGTAAATTAGTAAATTGTCAATTATTTTCCTGGTGCAAAATATAATAACCATAACATTTTTACTTTGTGTATATAAAAAAAATTAATCGTTAAAATTTAGTATAACGATAAAATACAGTAATAGAAAAATGTGATAATAAAGTTGAACTATATCAACGTTAGTTMATATAAATATTTATGGACCTTGTTCAATGTATAATTTATTAATAATTGACAAATTTAGTGTTTTTTAGATTCTGAACGGAGTGATGAATGTATTGATTTTACAATGATGTGTGTGTKTTTTTTTTATATACATGTACAGCATAACTAGTCGAAATAATGCTTCAATTTCAAACTTTGGGGGTGGATTTCGATGGAAAAGTGAATATCCTTGGTGCATTATAGTGTTGAAAAGTAAACAGTTTTCAAAAACATCGAGAAAAACAAAAAAAAGTGATAGAAAAACGGGAATTTTTACGCAAAACCAGTTTTCGACCAAATCGATTTYTTTATATGGTTGTAATTCAAAAACTAATCACTGTAAATACTTGAAATTTTCACCAAATGTTTATGTTAGTGATATCTATATACAGTTTAATTTTCAAAAAATTTTGATTTTTTTTGATTATTTATAGACCACTGAAATTTTCGATTTTTTTGAGAATTTTGTTTAGTTTGAGAATCCCTGGCTTATACTACAAATATAGTACCTAAATGTACATATAGGTACCTATGTAATATATTCAAATTATTAAAGTTATTGAAATTCTTAAGTTAAATAATTTTCATTTTTACAGATGTTTTTTTTAAAAGTTATAATCACAAAAAGAGATTGATGTAACCAAAGTATAATATAAAATACACTTATCACAATAGATTATTATTAAGGTATTGGTTTTCATAAATATTAGTAAATTACATATTATATCTTGCGAAAACCTAATCGTGAAAAAAGAGCATAGTGCATAGTCCATTGAGTCCAGACTCCCTCACAATAGAGTCTGTCAATCAAAGTAGAAATAGATTGCAGCCAAGTCTGATCTCTATATAGTTTGAGATATTTTATATTATTATTATATTATCAGACCAATTACCAGATGTAGTTACCATAATTCAAATCTACAAATTAAATAAAAACTTTTATGATGTTATTTATAATTCCCAACACTGTTTTATAGTTCTATACAATTATTAATTGGTAGGTAATTAGTAATTACTATAAATTAACTATTAAGAGTCTTCTAAAAAATGTGCAGGTATTGTGGGTAACAATAACAGTTGATTTTCGTAGTCTGCCATAGTTATTAAATTCATATACAATGTTCTATTATTATCATTTGCCTATACTAATTATTTATTCTTTTATTAGTTTTATTAAAAAAATATTGTTATTGGATATCATAAGACAAAAAATTGAGTGTCAATATCAGTCACCATACATGTAGTATATTAGTTACCTATCTATTCGTTATTATTTCTTTATTTACGTACAGTATAAAAATAACCTTGAGCTAACTAAAACGTACTTGATAGTTCTTGGATCAGAAAGTGATATTTCTTTCGCAATACATTTAAAAGATATACTCACTATTTAATACTATAATATATATGTATATATGTATTATATAAGTTATAAGTATATTACCAGTGAGAGTGTGAGCGATATACATAAAAATATAAAATATTKTTTTAATGTTCACTATAGAATTATAAAGTTACAATACATAGTTGAATTAAGTGTGTCCCCAAATGTGTGGGAACAAATAGTTGATAAAGAAGGTATACTCTCTCCCACCCAATAATTCAATAGTAAATTTTTAAAATATATAAATGAATAGGGTTTGCTTATGAATTAATAATTATTCAAATTTGATTATATTTTTTGAGTTATTATGTAAAATTATTTATTTATTTATTATTTCTGCATTATTATACATCTACCTACATATTATRTACAAATAAACTTATTTAATTTTACCWACTTGWATATGTAGTTATTAATTTAGAAAGGATTCGTCTCAAAGAAAACAGTAAACAGTCTAATAATATGCTCCTAAGTATTATCGGATTATATTAATTATTCAATTATAATTAGATATACGCAAAACTTTATGAGTAAACCGACATTGCTATAACTTTTTTCATAATAATGTAAAATCGAATGGATTTTTTTTTTAAACATTGTTTTTATGAGCGTATTGTATTAATTTTTGTTGCATAAATAAATATTTAAAAAAGTATATATTTCATGATATACTTAAACATAACATAAAGGTGAGCGGTGATCCCAACCAATAACCGTTAACGTAATATAAAAAATATATATAATTAATAGACGGAGGACCTCCACAAGGCCACCCTTTTGACCCCCCGGTCAGAAAGATTCTGAGGGGCTCTGCACCGTTCATGCAAATAATTACTTCAAAGTTAGTTCAATAGATATTAGAAAAATGTTCGGGGCCCGGATTTAGTTCTCTATACCAAGGTCAAAAATATGAACTGAGGGAACTGAGTCTGAATAGATGTATTAAGAATGAGATTCAAATATTCAATACACAAATAACCAAGGAATAACTTTGTTCTTTTTTACTAGTTAATTCGTTAATCACTTCATTAATTTCAAAAGTATTAATTCTTGGTAAATTTAATATCAGACAAGGCCTTAAAATTTTTTGTAWAACGATTTTTAAACGATTATTTTATAACAAAAAAAATYTTAATAGATCACTGCCTCATTATTTCGATTGACTTTATAGTTATGATTAAGTTGCTCTTATAGGCATGCTAAAGTAATAATTGCAATGAATAAAAAAACGATGTCACATATAGTTGTTGAAAATATCACCCTCTATCCAACTTAATTTTAATGATAATATAATATTATAGTTTAATCATCATCCCCATAAGAGTGTGCGTACCACGTGTTTTTCTTTTATTGAAATAAAAAACACATATGCCAGGTCAGAGGGTTTTTTCTCTAAAAAAAATATTAATCATGGTTGAATCTAGCTGCTCTTTGTAACTAACTGCGTAGAATTCTGACAATTTTTTCCATTCGGTGAATCCTTATATTATTATATACCTATATACCATAGAATACAGTGAACTTAAACATCGGCGTAGGTTTAAACACTGCAGTAGTCATACAGACACTCGTCGTTTGATCGAATTTTGAAGACCCGGTATGAGAATAATGAACWTATTATAAATTAAGTACCTAATACACTGCATGACCACCTCATATCGGTTCTGCATACCTGCAAAGACCAGTTATAATGTCATCTCGTCTAAAAGTCGTATTATAGTCATAGTAGTCATACTATATACACATAATACGTATTATTTAGACATAGGATTACTCACACGTGGTGGCATTGGACGTTTCAATGTGCACTCAAGGTCGTAAAAATGTATAATAATAATAAAATAGTAGGTAGGTAGGTATAAAATGCATAATGTAGAATTGTATGCAATGTACAAACTGGTGTAGTCATTGCGAGCATGCGGTCTCTGTGTATAAAATACGAACCACTTCCAGAATTCCAGATTTAGTTCATTCGTTCGATCATTCGGGACATGACGTTAACGCAGCAACGTAGTGTGTATAAAATTCGATCGCGTATTATTGCAACGTATATATAACAAAAATACCTATTTACTTTATTGTAATATTAACGATTTTATTGTGAACGTAACCGTCGCGTATAGCTCGTCGATGACTCGTTCGCGTTTGCCCAGCTGAGTCGTTTGTATATAGCGACTGACTGCTGGTACACCAGGAACAGTGAACACTAATAATAATATCATGATGTACGGTTTTATATCGTTTCATATTTTTCGGAATTTTACTCTACAACAATAATAATAATAATAATAATAATAATAATATTAGACCATTCGCAAAAAACAGCCAGCGATTACAACTGTAGGGCTGTGTGAAGCACGCGTATAGACAACGGATAAAATTCAAGACGATATTAAAATAGGTAAATTATTGTAAAACATGTCTTCGTAGTGCGATGCAATGAGTAGTATTATCGTTCATACTTCGATTTGTGTATACCTTATCAAGACAAAAAWATTGAAAAGTTGACACATATATACTTTGGATATAGTATTCTTGTTTAAAATACAACAGACATTTATTATAGGTAAGTACATGACATAGTGTGATAYAATATAATATTATTATGCACTTAAAAAAATRATAATGTATGCACTGAACAAATTCACATCTAACGATACCTACATGATTCATTTTTTACAGACAGTATCTTATCTTGGAACCTTGGCATAGGTACGCTGCTACTGCGYGATTAACCACTCAACATAATATAACACAACATTTGTATCATAGCATCTTCTCATCTTCAGTCACATATTATAATGCACAATTAATATATTCGAAAAACGTCAGTGTTACAAAAAATGCGCATAATATTATATACATGAATCTGAAAACTTTTGATATTTGAAATATTATTATACTGTTCGTTACTACTTMTAAACATAAATCTTTAAGTGCACTAAGACTACACGAAATCGTAACAAATACGCAACAGACATCACAACCCGATGAATCAATTGCACAACATAATATAAGGCAAAAATTATTGTTCTTAAAATGGGTATGGATTCAAATTTGTAGTATGCAATACCATGTATTAACTATAATGGCTAGCCATTTTATCATTATTTTTGGAACGTTTTCATATTTAGGTACCAGCTATAATTATTAAGCATGTATGACTTCTGTTTTACAGAAATAATATCGAAAAATCTCGTATCTGTTGTCACTGGATTACCAAATATGAATTTAATACTTTACATATGTTTGATGGGCCTAGTTTCATCGACGGCAGCACAAACCAGAGTAAAATGTTTTGACAATAATAAGGGCAAAGATAAAACTGGCATAATATTGGACTGTTCCAATATGGCTGGCAAGAGTTATCCATACAGTATTGAAGACTGGATYCGATATCATGCGTTTTACGATGATGGGATTTTAGCCAATCGTGTGTTGCATATTAACCTGGAAAACAACAATTTGAAGCAAATATTTACACTTCCATTAATGACATCGTTAAAAAAATTGTCATTTAAATACAACAACATATCGTCCATTGCAAATAAGGCGTTGACGAACTTACCAGCTCTGGAGGAACTAGACATAAGTTACAATTCGTTGAACAGTAAGTAAATTTATTGGTTTTACGCAAACAAAAATTACAGATTTAAAAAAATAATCAAACCTCAATATATTTAAATAAAAGCGTTTTATCTATTTAAATTATATCTTATACATAAAATATTTTATCGAATTTTAAACTTTCAATTGTATTTTAAAATATTTTTTAAAATGAATCAAATCCTCAATATTGTTCGAAACTATAAATATACAATCAAAGCCTGATATAGAGAGTATCTGGATGAATAGGGTCACCAAACTCCAATTTTGATTGCCTCAAACTTGTATCATTTTGGTTTTTTCATACGAGAAAGTAAACGATTTTTCATCATTACTCTTTTGTATCAAGGTCATGAACCTAAAATCTGTAATCTTTATGTACAATTATATAWATAATCAATACCCGCGTGAATACTACWCGTGAGAAAATAATATTACTTTAAGTTATACTTAATCTCGAAGTTAAGTTAGTATATAACTGCATTTATAAAATATCTTTTGAATTTTTATAATTAACCAAAATAATGATATTAAATATTGTCTTTTGAATAATATAAAGGYAACAAAGTATTTTACGAATAAATGATTATTGATTTCTTTCGAAAAAAGTTATAAATATTATATTTCCGTAAGTTCTTAATTTTGTTGTTTATTTTAAAATGTAATATAAGGGTTTTTTTTAAAGACCAAAACTTCATTGAGTGCTTAATGCACTTTTTAAAAATAAACTTAAAACAAAAACTAAATAATAAATCATTGTAAAACTTATAATATTCATTTAACTACATTAAAAAAATGTTTAACAACTAAAACTGAAACCTATATCATTCAATAATTTAATTGATAACAAATGATAATATACCTACCATAAACTATTAAGAATATAGATAGCACAATTCATCACTATCGGCACCATTTTGTGCTGATGTKTACAGAACTTGTGATCATTTTGGAAAACAAGGAACTTAAAGATTGTCCAGTCTTGGCCATATATGGAGCTGCGTCATTCAAAAATAGTAATACCATTTCATGTTTTATTCCTGTTGGCCACAAAATGGCCACAAAATTAAAAGATATCTATCAAATAATTTTGCGATTGTACTATGGTTCGCTCTTTCTAAAACATCGCTATTTAGTAAAAATACTTWTCCAGGCGTATCTACTTCTAAAGTTCCAACTATAACGTTTATTGCTACGGTAACGCCCTTCTACATCAGTCGTTTCGTCTATAGAGATCCAAATATTTTTATTTTGTATAATATACTAACTAATTTTTATAAGTGTGTTTTTCATACATATTTGAAAAACGTAATTTTTTCTTAAAGTAGATTCAYCTGGTATTTTTTTATTTGTATATTGTTCTTAAAATTCGCGAAAAGTCGGTTGATTCAATATATAGTGGTATATTCGCACTATTCGCAGATAGAAATGCTGTWGTTAAGTCTTCAAAGAATGGTGATTTTTGTACTGTTAATAAATTTTGAATTTCGGTACCTGCAATTTGTCGTTGTAATCCTTGTTTGTGCTTATCTCGTGATAAATGTTGAGAAATTGTAAACTTTTTGTCTGCGGAAACTTTCACCTCACATATTTTACAAAATAAAATTTGACCGTCCKTAGAAAACACATCTGCACTACCATATTCTCTTACGTATCCACGAAGTCGGTCCGAACATGGCATCCTTACTTTATGCATTTCATTTTTAATATTTGTTTCGTTTATACACATATAAATAATATACGTAAAATATGTAACATGTGAAATACACCTGTAGTAAGTAGGTAGCTTCGACGTAATACGCAACACGACTAAAAGCGTCCGACAATCGGCCACGCGCACCATCGATTTAATAATATTATCGCTTGATAAGAAAATACTCCGATACAAGTATGCAATAAAATCGGCTAATTGGATGGTGTGACATAAAGATTGTCTAATTTATTAGTAATTTAAAACCAGATTACCTACAGATGTTAAACAAATTAAAATAGTTCAAAATGAAAATAATTTATATTACATAGTACTATATTACTATGTAGTAGGTAGGGGAAAGGTGTCCAAAGTGGCCACCTTAAGGTTCAACACAGTATCACACATTAAGATTTAATTTTTTTTTTTTTATGAAACCTTCACGATTGTCTAGTTAAACTTGTCAGGAATCATTATTTGCAATCAGAAACAATTTTAAACAAATAAAAAAAGGTTATTTTAATTTTTTTTTAAGTACAAAATTGTTCGCATTGCCCACCTAGGTGCTCAAAGTGGTCAGACAATGTCCACTTTGTCCACCAGTTTTAAATTTCTGTTATTATTCATTATTTCATAATAGGTAGGTATTATCATAAATATATATAATAGGTATAACTATTATACTAGATATTATACTCTTACAATAACTTTTCTTTGATAAATAAGTAACTTAATTTCAAGCTTTGGGTCTCTTATTAATATTTTTATAAATGAACAAACATTTAACAAATTGATCAAACTTGGTATTTTTTTGGCTGGTAACAAAGYTATTTTATAAAATAAACATATTAACTTAATAAGCTTTTGAAAACAAACAAATAAATATTATTAAATACATAAATTATAGTAACAAAAACAATTTTATAAACAACAACTTTAATTTTTTTATTAGATAATAAGTGTTTTTTTAAATTAATTAACAAATTAATCAGAATTTGTACCTTCTTGGTAGTTTGCATTAATAATTTTATAAACAACAACTTAGTTTTCTCTCAGGTTATATTTTTTTAATTAATCAGAATTGGCACCTTCTTGGTAGTTAATATTAACAATATTTTAAAAACAACAACTACATTTTCTATTAAGTAATATTTTTAAAACTAATTAATAAATTAATCAGACTTGGCACCTTCTTGGTAGTTAATATTAACAATATTTTAAAAACAACAACTACATTTTCTATTAAGTAATATTTTTAAAACTAATTAATAAATTAATCAGACTTGGCACCTTCTTGGTAGTTAACATTAACAATATTTTATAAATAACAACTTTAATTTTCTTATTGGATCACACTTTTAAAATTAATTTAGGAACAAAATTATTAATCAGACTTAGTAAAAACATTTGGTAGGTAACAAAAAGTATTTTATAAAATAACTTAATAAGCTTTTGATTGTTATTATTATTTTTAACTGCATCAATTGCTCTTTTCATACTAACTTTATACCAGCTTTGTTGATTTGATGTTCTTTTGTAATTGCTAGGCAACTTAACATTTCTATAATTTAACAGATACAAAATAATACATATTGATGATTGTAGGTATCTAAGAATTATTTGTTTCAGAAGTTTTTGTTATTAGTTTTATAATTTTTAATCATATTAATAGTAAGTAGGTACTAATTCATTAATGATATTTATTTAC